TGGCGGGTCGACAACAAAAGTGCAAGATGGACACTCAAAAGTCCATCATCCTCGTAAGGTAAGCGAAAGCGCCACAGAGGAAATTATTATGATCTCGGCCTCGTCTGAAGGCTATAGCTACATGTAGCAGCCAGCAATCAAATGAGAAGCAAACATGCTACATAGTTTCCTGGAAGAAAGCACAGGTACAGGCCTTTGTTAGACTACAGGAATCTCAAGATGTACCTGGAGATTATGATCATCGTCCAGGTACATTCAAAACGTTGGACTAGTCCGAATGCGCACCCAGTCGCGAAAAGCGTTCAAATGCATGTACTACTATGTAGAACGTTTGGTAGTGGAGCGAGTGAGGCCAACAGAAGGTGAATGAATTTGAAGAAGCGCAGTTATCAGGGGCATCAGCAGCGTAACCTGCTGCTCGTTGATTCTGCAATCTGTGTGATTTGATGGTGGCATTAGTTCATGCAGTGCCACACTCTGAGACCCTCAACGCGCGTCTCATTTGCGTCCATGAGAGAGACGCGTGACGGTCATATGGCGCACGACCGTTAGCTCGTACTTCTGCGTCGAGTTTGTTCTGGCTGGATGCGGGCACGATGTGCACATTCCTGATCATGTTGTCCTTTGAGACTTCATTTGTGCATTGACACTCCTGGCAAGCTGGAAGCAAGGAGTTACGCTTCACGGTTAAGGAGCTTTGTCGCCCTGGGTGCAAGAGGAAGTCAAGACTTAGTGCTTATCATCTGTTGTCACAGTTTTGTTTCCTCTCAAAACACACACAGATATCTGAGCCAAAGGTTGTAGCCCCAGGTTTCTGCAGGCAGGCGKAAGAACTCGAGAMAGAAAGGAAAAGAAGGGCTCTGATCTAYGAGGGGGGTTGGTGAATGGAAAGGGGTGTAGGAGGGGTGATTAAGAGGGCTATCTTAAAGGGCGGTTTTATTTTGGTGGTGACAAGGAGTGGGCGGCGCTGGCACAGTGGCAGGAGAGAGAGAGAGAGAGAGAGAGAGAGAGAGAGAGAGAGAGAGAGAGAGAGAGCGGAAGGAGGGTCAGTGCAAGGTTATCCCTTCAGTTGCTGTATGTTTTGCGATCGGATTGGATGTCCGATTTGAGATTCCCCAATTNGGAAGGAGGGTCAGTGCAAGGTTATCCCTTCAGTTGCTGTATGTTTTGCGATCGGATTGGATGTCCGATTTGAGATTCCCCAATTGGCTATTGCTTTTTTTTTTTTTTTTTTGTTGAAATTTGGACCATTTCTCGATTTATGTGTGTCATCCTTGCGCAGGGGCCATGCTAATCTTCTCTGTATCGTTCCAATTTTAACGGATATCGTCGGTCAGCCACCGTCCTGGCTGCGCCCCCATGCCCAGCATGTATCGGTTCTTGGGGTGTCGGCACACGAAACGAAAACAAAACGCATCTGCCCATGAAAGGTGGAAAAGTACAGTAAACCGACGAACCTGGCCATTTTCTGCAGGAAGATGCACTCGTCTCGTTTTTCGTTTTGTGTGCCGTGCCGCGACGCCCTTGGTTGAAAAAGAACGAGACAAGTGCATCTGCGAAAGGACAAAAAAGGAAAAAAGAAAAAAGGGAAAAAGAAAAGACCAGACAACCCCCTCGCATCCCCTCCCGCCCTGGTATCTCGCCCTTCCTCCCAAAGAGGAAACAGTGGACGCGGAGGTCGTCCGCTCACCGACTGGTCTTAGACTTGTGGGCGACCGGACCCTTCAATGTGAATTTCTAAAGGCCGTATTCTGCCAAAAAGACCCTACCAAAGCTTCATTCCGACCGACGACAACGACAAAAAGAGAATGGCAATAGACGCAGCCTTTTGGCTGCGAACTGAGCTCGGCCCGCAGGGCTTCTACTTTTGGACGACGTCCCTGCACAAAACGTTGACGTAAAAAAGCTGAAGTGACGAAGAGTCGCACGAAGCCGGCGCGCGAAACGGGGTCGTGTCCATCGGGACACCCGTCTGGGGTCGTGTCCATCGGGACATCCGTCTGGAGCGACTGTCACAGAGGATAAGCGAACGCCCGATCATTATAGCTATATTTGCTGCACCTTTCAGACTGAATACAGCGACAATGACCTGCCAAATCAGGCCGATCATTATAGCTGTATTTGGGACAACTTTGAGTCTGAATACAGCGACAATGACCGCGCGTTATACTCGGGAAAGAAGATTAGCACGTCCGATTCAGCCGTGAAATCCGATCGTCGTTCCTACCGTAGTGCGACCTGTATGTTGCTGACGGTGAGACAACTTGGGACCTCCTGTATGTTGTTGAATAGGGACCTCGTGTATGTTGTTGAATCGCGGGACAACTTGGGACCTCTCAAATGTTGCTGATCGTGGGACAATTGATACCTTTCCTCGCTCGGCCTTTCTGCGTAAACGAAAAAGTTGAAAGAAAAGAATATTTTCTGATACGTGGTCGGTCGATCGGCGGGCCAACTGGGACTGATGCCGTCCATTGGGCTTCGCTCCACTAGTCAGCAAATGTGCAAAATGAGAGTGAAATTTTCTTTATAACACGGACAGATACACCACCATATTCGTTGTCTTCGTGCATGTGGAGAGTAGTGGAGCGAGGTCCATTGACGCGTACTAACACTACCGATCCGTAGGAAAGCAGTACTGCAAGGAACGGAACAGATCGGAACAGATCGCAACGACACGGGATCGGAACGGAGCGGAATTACCGGCAGCGGCAGAGGCAGAGGAAGCGGAAGGCGGAAGGCGGAAGCCGGAAGCGGAAGTATTGGCACCGATATCGTCTATCATCGACTAAGGTAGGCAGCGCTGTTGCTTAGCACTGACCACAGCTGACGCATTGCATTAGCATGGACTACTCGTGCGTGGGATCGACAACGACTATTCCACCACAGTGGGTTGGGCGTTTCATTCGTCTTTTGATGGTCTACATACTTACTGTAATTAGCACCATTTACCATTTGACGACGATCAACTTTGTTGACTGTCACCTGGTTTGATCTGCTATTCTGATGATAATTCCATCATTAATTAGTTGGCCAGCGATTGTTTTCCCGGTCTGCTTGCGTTTTGTGACTCCGCCGCCTTCCACGGCTGCTCTGCTTGCCATTCGTCTCGCTGTCCATCTGCGTGTGTGTGTGTGTGTGTGTGTCGCTCTCTCCCTTCCTCTCCTTCCGGCCATCCACATTGTCTCTTTAAGTGCGGGACGCGATCCTGTCTTCTTTCTGTGGCGCATGAATCCGCCTCGCTGTCCATGTGTGTGTGTGTTCGCTAGACACAACTCCGGAAAAGAAAGCATGACTGTGCCAGACTGTTTTTCGTCGGACTTTCAATGTGTGTGCGTGTGTGTGTGTGTGTGTGTGCGTGTGTGTGTGTGTGTGCGTGTGTGTGTGTGTGCGTGTGTGTGTGTGTGTGTGTGTGTGTGTGTGTGTGTGTGTGTGTGTGTGTGTGTGTCGCTCTCTCCCTCCCTCTCCTTCCGGCCCACCTTGCCTCTCCAAGTGCGGGAATCGGTCCTGTCTTCTTTCTGTCGCTCCCACAACCCGTTCCCTCTCTCTCTCTCTGTGTTTCTCTGTTTCTCTCTGTCTCC